TGTGACTTTTCGATTGGAAACATCTTATCCACAGACCCACAAAAACATCTTCACAGGACGAATCATCCATCATCAGGAAAAATTCCAATGGATAATCCCATGGAGAACGCGTTTCTTTTGCATCACAACATTTCTGCAATTGCACCAACATCTAACCTCTTGTGTGAAATTAGCAATTTCTTCGATCGACAGTTTACCGCTTTCATCACTACACTGGAATAATTTCGGTTGGAATCCGTAAGCAGCATTGCCGTCCTGCCAACTGGTTGACCACTGTGTGAAACTGGCTGGCTCAGCGCCCTCCATTACGCGAATCACTTGTGTCCATTCAGGTTTACCCTTAACTCATTTTTTTGGGCGAATTGCGATGAATATCGAAAATATCAGTGAAAGCCGAAATGTATATTTGACAGGTCAAATTGAATCTCTCAACGAAACAGTCGATGAACCTGAATGTCGATGTAATCATTGGCCCAATTCACTGCTTTGGCGCGTTCCTCTTTCGTACAACCCTTCCCAATCCACACATAAACACCTCCATTCGAAGCATCCAAAATGAATGCATCCTTTGATGGAACTTATTAAAACATCAGCATTGCTTGTCACCATTCATTATTTGTTTCTAATGAGAGCCGTATGCAACTGGTGCACACGCAACTGTGATCTTTTCGGTGTATCAGAATTTGTTATGGATTTATCTCGAGATCCTTACAATTAGTTTTCCACTCTATCGTTACCATCAAAATAATGCAAGAGAATGTTTCAGCTGAACTCATGATGTCTATGTTTAATCTCTTCTCAAAATCAGCAATTATTTTCGAATACAATTTTTGGTAAAGCATTTCAACCTTATTCTTATAATTATTTGCAATAGCGCAATCGCTGTATTACCAAAAGAGCGAATTTTCAGGAAACATATTGTTCTTGTTTTCTGCTTAATCCACACCTACCTTGGACTCCAGCTGATCATATTTGAAATCGCCTTCGGAAATCTTCGTCACCTCAATTTTTCCACTTTCATCACAAACCCTAGAACATCAGTTTGTGTAAGCAAGCTTATTTTTCTCTGTGATTTCATCCGATCTTCTATCATCTTCATCTCGCATTCAAAAAAGTGAAACATGTCACAAATTGTGAACTTTTTATCATCTCAGAGCGAAGAGTTCGTTTTTAGTGACAAAAATAGGCTCGATTAATCGTGTTGATTGAGCACATTACATTTTACAAATGCATCTAATGCGTTCAACTGAAAGCACTCCGTTATATGTTTCTTTTTCTGAAGGCCCATTCAACCAAATAAATAAAACTGCCCAACACCTCCACAACGTGATCTGCTGTTTATTCGTTCTCCAGAAGTTCTCATCTGCTCCTCCAGCCTCCGCTGACTTCAGCTTGCTAACATTCTGCTTGCCGCCCATTATCTTCCAGAATGCATCGTTCTTATTCCAGTCAAGATCTGCGAATTGAATATAACACTTGTTTTACCCTTATAGTCATTATCTACTTCGCACTCATCAACAACTGCTATGAAGTGAATGATCAGTTTTGGAATCGAATGCGATGCACATCAAATGCTAATATTAGAAAAAGAAACTGCGCGAAATTTTGAGAAACGATTTAAACAGCTAATGTGGGGAATGATTAAGCAAACCTACCGAGCACATGCACTTTTGGTTTACCGTTGCGTTCTTCATCACGAATACTTTTTGCTTGTGACATTCCCTGGAATACCGATTGTACTGTTGAAAAGATGCAATATTAATAACTTGTTATTGTTTCATGGCTGGTTGAATACTGGTGATATTGTGCAATGGGCATCTGTTGCGTTAAGCTTTCGAAACGGATAAGAGTTGTGGTATGGAAGGAATTATGGTGCTTTCAACAGCATTTCATCAAAAGTTATGCTGTAGTTGTGAACAGAATTTTGAGACACATTTTTTTTTCAGTTCAATTGGATCATTTCAAGTAAATTCAATGTCACCTTAATGCGTTCAAGTCGGCCACTCTCCGGTGGCATCCACACATAAAGGTCGAGTTCACAGTCCAAAATGAACACATCACCAAGATTTAGCGAATCATGCTCACAAGCCACCTTAACATTCCGGAATAAATTTTGCATTCGAATCATTCATATGGTCGATATAGC